AGCTGCATACAAATCTCTGGTCAACTCATGGTTTTGCTGCAAGGACTTCCACAGCTTGTGTTGCGGACACTGCAAAAACAACATAAGCAATTTTTTCTTTTGTTTTACATCATCAGGCCTTACTAGAGAGAGTGCTTAACTGTGTGTCTCTAGATAAACCTAGTCCCTACTCTATCACTTAGCCTTTTGGGTGACTTTGTGGAACGTTTCTCCCAGGCAAGACTAATACTTTCTACACTGTGAGACTTTTCTCACCTAACCCCATCTTCTTAGCCTGACCAGTACTGTCCTAGTTTTGCCCTTATAGAAACTTGCTGGACTTTCAGGCTCTCCTGATCTTAGTTTGCAGACTGGAACTGTCATCTACGTAGTGTTTGACAACTGATGGTCCTGGTTTCATGACATTAATAAAAAGAAACAAGAGGTAAGGTGGGCTGAAAAGGATGGGTGTCTGCTTTGCAGCATAAAGCAACAGCAGCTAACTGCCTCCATATTCTATAATTTAGAAGTACTAACGAAAAAAAAGATAGTATGCGTAAATGCCCAGGAGTATAGGTTGAAATAGGTTGAAGATGAAAAGGCTTGCCAGTTCAATATCGTCCGATTGAACTCAGCCTCATACACCTCTGCCTTGTTATAAGGAGGGTGTAGTTAGGAGAAAAAAACCTTAGTGCTGCAGCTGAAAATCATGACCCAGAGCTAAAACAATGATTCCTGCATGCAGCAGTCATTCTTCTGCAAGCACCCTCTATACTCCTCTGTGATAATGAAAAGCAGAGAGCTCATGCTCTCATTATGTATTGGATAGGCTTCCTAGTGCATATTCCAGTAAATATGTTAATATAAACAGGGTAAGAATGCACTGCCTCAGTTTATATCTAGTTCTAGACACATGATATTGCATATATATTCTTTTTCACCCACAGCCAAATAAGCTTTTCTGATTATTTATTGAGATATGAGTTATAATGCACAGCACTTGTTACCTCAGGCATTAATTTATCAATATCAACCACTCTTCAAGGACAGAAAAATGTTGATTCCTTTTTGCCAGTGTTCTGTGAAACTAGACTGTCTGAATACTTATGGAAGAATGGTAAGAAGGCTTTGCATGCTGTGCCGCAGAAGACGCCAGTGATTAGCTGTTACATGGGTCACACAGAGACATCTCATTTGTCCATCACTTTTTAACAAAAAAAAGAGATTTTATTTTAATTTATTTTTTTCTTTTGTAGTTAAGGCTGCTTTAAAAACAAGCTTGTAATAGGATTCAAGTTAGTATTGCAAAGGAATTCAGGAATACACAATGATACTCAAATTCAATCCACCACATAGAAGTAAATGAAGAATCAGGAGGAGGTAATGCTGAAGACTGATGAGTAGAAAGACAACTGAAACAGGAAGGAAGCCGAGTTAGGATTCTGTTTCTGGAATTTGGCCCTGGTGTACAAGGTTGCTGTGAAAAAAAATTAGTCACACTTCAGTGTGGAGGAGGACAGAGCAAGCTGCATTATGGGGAGGAACGTGGAACAGAGAAAGTCTGTTTATTTGCATTCCTTATATAAATAGGTCCTGAATCTACATACCAGAATACTATTTCTTCTGAAGGACAAAACCAGTCTGGCAACACTAGTTACCCCTGACCTTCTTCAAAGGCATACTGCTTCTCCAAAAAGCTGATGTGTGGGTGGAATATTATGCTCCTGTCTGAAACTCTATCACATACTTGTTTTCCTTTAAGGTGGATAGATTATTTATTTTCTCCACAACTAACTGCAGTGAGAATGCCATTTAATGGAGCTGAAGATGACCTTAAAGTAAATGTATTAAAACCTGAGCTTTCATAGCTACTGTTGTTAGCAGTATCATGGCCAATGTGTTTGTAGCCCTATGTTACGTGTGTCTACCAGAGCTGTCACTTCCCATTAAGTAACAGTGATCAGAGAAATGTGGTATTTTCTGGGAGATACTCTTTGGTAACAGTCTAAATATCCTTGAGCAATGGGCACAGAGAGAATTGATTTGGGGAAAGAAAAAATAATATATATATATATACATATATATATATGGCTTCTTGGATCTCTTTTTCTCAGGTAATTCAGTGTGACTTTAGAGATCAGAACGTCTTGTGAGTTATGTCTTGTTAAATTTTGACTCAGGACCATTCACTCAAAAAAAAAAAAAAGGAGGTACAAGTAGAAATAGTAAGTAGTTTTGTTCAAAGTTCTCTCTTCTAGTAGTGACCAGGTAGCCAAATATACAAGACACTTGCTTTCAAGATTACGTGAAAAACAGAAGTCTAATAAACAGGAGAGGTCCTAACCAAGGTCAGAAGATGGCAGCCCCTAATGCTCACTGTTGACAATGGATAGTGCTGGTTTTGACAGAGCACAAAACAAGAGTCAGTATAGCACATGAAGATGCCTTTGTCCACCTCAGCATTTCTTGAGGGGATGTCAAAGGTAGGATCACAACACTGTACACTATTACTTTTACAATAATTTTTGGTTTTAAAATGTGTGAGCATTATATCATTAAGAGGAGCACAAGGGGTCACTGCTTTGCCACTGTAGTTCCTCTAACCATTTAGAAAGTAGAAGACTACCAGATTGTTTCATAGATCATATTTGCAGGCTTTCTGGACTATGTTTAAATACGTTATCCTGAAGATAAATGCGTTCTACAAGACTATCAATCCCTGAAGCTGTATAAGTTTTCGGTGAAAAATTCAGTATATAATTAAAGGATCCAGTGTCATAACTCTGAATTATGAGCTTCTTTTAAACCTGGTAAGTTAAATCATACATTTTAGACATTGATGCTGATCATGAATAAAAGTTCATCAAAAATATGTTGCCTTCAGCATACTTTTACCTTCCAGGTTAATTTATCTGCTATCAGAAACGTTTCTCCATAATATACTGAATTCAGTTATATAACTTTAGAATGATGCATGTTAAGGAGAACTGGAACCTAACTGTGAAAACCCACGTTAAGAGACAGACCTTTTATCTGCTGGTGAAACTCACAAATATAAAGAAACAGAGCAAAACTGTGCAGACTGGCTAATATTAACTTGCTTTATTTCAATCCGTCAGGCTTCTGCAAATACAACTGTACCAACGTCCCCAAATACGACTGTCCACCCTGAACAATCTTTCTTACAGATCTGCCAAATCTAGACTTTGTAGATCAGGTCTGAAACATTGTCTTGCCCGTTTATCAATAGGAAGCCTTTGATAAACAGTGAGGGTATGACAATTCTACAAGATGCATTTGTAACAAAAAAAAAAAAATAATTACTATTTCTCTTCAGCTTTGATAGCCTTTTCTGTGATGAACACTACCCTAACACAAGCATATGCAATATTCTTGTTAACCTTCCCAATGGTCACTCTCACAGCTGTTCCAAAGACAGCAACACAAAACTGTGGGTCAATTCTCTATCTTCCTTTAAAATGGCAGATTATGACTACCAGAAGCTTTCTTCATTTCATGCCAGTGATGGTATTTGATCACCTCTGGAGACCGATACACAAGCAAGATTATAGCTAGTTTGAAGCTACATGCTCTGACTCATCAGCTGGCTGCTCCTAGGAACTGTGCAGGTCCCTGTCTTTTTAAAAAAAACACAAAAGACAGTAGAGATGCAACTGATTTCCTCTGTTCCCCTTCCCCAGAGACTGCAAAGGTGCCTCGAAAGAACAACAACAGGATGGGAATGCTTGGGCAAGGCCAAAACATGGACTGGTGTGGACAATTGGGGTGGGCTGGCCCACAGGATTGATGGTCAAGAGAGTGCAACCAGCAGGTGTGTACAAAATTTGATATACCAAATGTTTAGAAGCAGAAACACAGAAGTAACTGTGATTTTGGTACAGTATTCATCATAGCACATATTTCAACCTCCTAATGATGAAGGCAAGCCAGATTATCTATGCTTCTAACACAGACATCATAAGTTACCGTAGATAGTCAATTACAAATTGAAACAGAATAGATCTAAAATCTCCATCAGTTTATTATTTTTGATCATTTTAGTTTCATTTCTGGCAGACTGACACGTTACATTCCTTGAAGTCTCTGATCCTGAAAACATATTGTAAGACATTCTTTTCACTTGTATTTATAGTCTGCATGTATCATAAACCCCTGCATGTTTAAAGATGCAATTCCACACAAACTGAAAATAAAACCAATTCCAAATTCATCGTTTTGCCTTTCTAGATATTAGGAGGCTTCGTAAATATTTCTGCCTTAACAGGGATTTATTAGTAATAAATTTTGGAAAAATCATGGCATAGTATATGTTCTTCAAATATCTTCACTGAAAAATTTTATGACAGTGTACTAAGGAACTACTCCAAGTTGTCTGTCAACAACTGGCTTAAAAAAAAAAAAAAAAAATCACTTCTACCATCACAAGTATAGCCTTCATGTGACTGTACTAGAGTCTCATTTTTTAACAAAGAATTACCCTGCATCAAAAATCACATGCACATTTTGGAACTAACTAGAGCTTTTTTATTTATAGACACTTCATATTCATAATTAATTTATTTCTTTATTGCTGATACTTTTTGTTTACTGTTACATGAATGTTAAATCAAGAACTTCTATTTTTCTTTACAGCTCAGTTAAAATTTAACTAAGATCAAAATCATTTATCTTATCCTTAGTTCATCAATTTAATTGCATTAATATGTAACAGATTCAAAAATACTTTTTTGCATTTTAACAGAAACATTCTAGATCATAAAAATTCGGCGATTCATCTTGTCAGACTGCAAATCCCACTGAACAGAAAACACAAGGGACCCATCGTAAAAGCTACATCATGCTCTTTTACTGCATTACCTTTGCAGTTATTGGACGAACACACAGTGTTAAATTGGTACCACAAAAAAGGTTAGATTAACAAACCACAGTGATGAAAGCTGAAAGCCATAAGCACAATCAACATTCCTGGGAATGCAGGAAACCCAACAACTTTCTATAGCTTTTTTTGATTTATTTTCTAGTATTTTTAATAACCAAGCGGATGGAGAAGCACATGAGAACTGGGAACACACTTGCTAAATAAGAGGGTTTTGTCTCCAGCCAAAGGTATAAGCAAGCTTTTGCACTTTGGGTAAATCTGACAAAATTCTGAAATGCCTGATGAAGAAATCCTATTCCAAAACATAATCCACTGTCAGCAAAAGCTTTTAGCTATTATTAGTGTGATTTAAAAATTACCTAGAATTCATTTCCTGCCCAAAGAGTACACACTGCTTGTTCTCTCTTCTGGACATACATGATGCCAAATGTAGTGTAGAATCCTTTCATAGGAAAGCTTGTCAGAAACGCAAGTCACATTGCTAGAAAAATATCTGCATTTAGAATTCAACTTCAAAGACTCAGTTCAAAGAGTTCTGGTAAAAAATACAAAGGAAAACCAAGGTGTGTGTGGGGGGTAAGAAGTATGGAACTGAGAAGTAAAGCACTCTGAAGTTTTATACTGCCAGTCTTAGTGAAAAACTAACATACAGCAGATCTTTAAATTTTAACCAGAGCCTCAATTTTGTAATTAAAGAGTTTCAGTAATTACAGCACAAACCAGAAATCGGAGGACTAAGTTGAATTTTTAAGTAGTATCCTATTCCCTACGTGCAAGAACTTCTGAACACTGAACTGTGGCAGACAGAAAGTATATTCATTACATGCAGAAAAGAAATGTGGGTACTATGAGGATTGTATTGCAAATTAATACAAAATATAGCAGAAATAATAAAATAAAGTATTTTACATTGGGGACTACTATTGCCAGGCATTTGAAGGAATGTTTTTATTTACATTTGCAGAGATGCTACAACCCAAGTGACACTAGAAATTCTTACAAAGCAGGATAAAATACTGTTACATATACATATAAAAAATAAAAAACCACTATGGCATTCTGAAATTAAACCAAAAATATTTCTCATTCAACATATCTAGTTATGTTAAATCATACTACAACTCTATCAAAAGATAATTTGATACTTGTCCATTACTTATCAACCATAAAATAAATAAATGAATTTATAAAACTCTCTGAAGAGTCAAAGGAAACCAAGATTCATACCTGTAAGGAAAGGGTGGTATTTCTGATCTGCTGACTCAAGTGATCCAGTCCCTTAGGATAAATGAATCATTCAGATCAGAAGCATTATTTTCATTTCTTTCAATGAAGAAAGCCATTTAACATATTATGCAAATTTTCATTTTCCTTTTCATGAGTGAGGGAAATATTAATGAGATTCCACACAATACAGAGTAACTTATGCAGTACTGAGGTTCTGCTTCATTAATTTACACAAAACCGTAAGAAAACCCCTCCAAATTTCAAGTAACATAGGCTGTTGGTAAAAGTTATACAGAACAAAAATTAGATTGAATGATAGTGCTAGTGACTTGTGCTTAAACCGGAGATAAGAGAGTTACTCCTTGACAATCCCAAATTTAACAGAATTGAGTTGAGGTTTATACAGAGAAAAACATGATCTGGATTTGTAGTCCTGTGCAGTTCTTGGATCATTTGGTGAAGAGCAAACATTTCAAACATCTTCTTATTACTTCTGCAAAAGATTTTACATACAATAGTTGTCAATTTAAAACTGAGAGGTTTCATCTAAACATTAGAACTTCTACAGAAAATGGTATTTTAATGAAGGAAAATGTGCATTACATTGGCAGTTACATATAAGTCTTCTACATGTGTATAATGTCTCTAAGCAGAAGGTTATATATGCATGGTGAGAAAAATCTTGTCAAAACTCACCAAAAAATATAATTTCACTTGAGTAAGTGAACATGTAGTATAATGAAAGCTCAAGGAAAGGCTATAACAGGGTTTCACACTCATGTGAAAAGTTTCTAAAAGCAACAAATGAAAAATTTTTAATTTTACTTTTAGTACCTTTCCAATGCAATTTATAGAATCACAGAATGGTTTGGGCTGGAAGTGACCTTAAAGATCATCTAATTCCAACCCCACCTGCTAGCAGAGAACATCCAGCATTGTCTATGGTGGAGCAAATAAACAGCAAAACAGAGATGAGTTTTTGCAAAAAGAGAAAAGTAAAAGTCCTTGAGTTTGCTGATCTAATCATAACTAACAGAATAATAGTAATAAAGAATTACTTTATTCTGGAGAGTTTTTGCAGTATCACACAGAGCTTTTCCAAAATCTGAGTATCTAGCTTAGAACTTCGAAGCAAAAGAGAGCAAGTTCGGAAGAAGGATTCATTACTGCAGGCTTCCAGGAAAGGCTGTGAAGAATCTGTAAAAGAAAACAATTAAAATCTATATTACACAGCTCAGTGCAGGGAAAAGTAAAATAGCTGTTAGATACATTTGAAGGGCTTTAAGTGCCTCATGTTGCGCAACTATTAGAAGCATGATATAATCCAATTTATGCTGAGCATGTGATGCAAAACTCAGGTAAAACTAGGAACTGAAAAAAATGTCAGTTCCATAGAGTTCTGACATTTCCAACCCTTGTATTAAAACAAGGCCTATTCACTTGAGAACAAAGGAAAACAGGAAACAGAACAATTTTAAACTCAAATAAAAATTATCTTGAAAGTGCTTACTCAATGCTCATTTAGCATAGTTATTTCCTTTTGATCATGTGAGGGGAACATAGGCTGTGCAAAAAGACTCAGAAGGAAATACTTTAAGCTGCTGCAAATCACATGGACAGGGACAATACATGTAGAAGCTAATGTGATACCTGAGAGCCTTTCATCGTCAAAATACTGTCACTGTACCCTTTTTCAAGACAGGCAAAAAAACACTTGAAAGGTAAAAGTAAGAGCTGGATAAGAACACTTCAATATATTTAAATATCAACAAAACTCCCTTAAAACAGTGGATGAGTTTTTAGATCACATTGAACATTTCCCTCTATCCTACTCCTCAAGATCAAATCACTTCTGAAAAAGGTTAAATCTGTTCCTTTGTTATGTCATTCTCAGTTCTGATATTAATTTATAGTAAAAACAAAGAAAGTAAGTTACAGTTGATCCTTTTTGTTAAAATGAATAGTCTTTCACATAGCATAGGGCATTTGCATCAGCAGAATACACATTAGGAAAACATTTTAATGTTTGTATGTTTAAAATATTTTTTTTATTTTGTATGTGTTATACTTAATAAGAAATTGCACTATGCAAATTACAGCATAAACCAATAAACACAGACATGAAAAAATTCTTTGTACATATGCTGAATACTGTAATTTATAAATAGGACATCAAGATGCTTTTATCAGTACAGAGAGGACGGATGTATCTTTCGGTCAAAATTTTCCCTTGGTGCAAGGACATACAAATTACTAAATATAAGTAGTAGCCTTGGAGTGAATTCAAGGTTTTAATTTATTTCAGGATGCTTACTGATACAAAATGAAAAGAAATGCCACAGAAAAGCTGTTCAGAATAGGGACCAAAAAAAAAAAAAAAAATCAACTAAATCAACTTGGCAATTAAAGTGAGCTTTAGAGCCTAAACAACTACTTGTCAACAAGGACCCAGTAACTCCTAGACCTTACTGTTAGGAAGAAGATCTTTCAAAACCTGTATTTTATGCTGCAGAAGGTATTATTTTTCAGAAATTGTGATATCAAAAACTCAGGGCTACCTGTCAATAACAGCAAGCAGAAAACCCTTACATCGGTTCAGAGAGTGTGCTCTGTTAACTGATACACAACTGACATACACTCAAGAGTCAGTGCTCTTTATTGAGCCACTGCTATCTATAACAGAACTTTGAAGTATTAAGTACACACAGCAGCATCTTAAACCTGGAAAAATAATTAACCCAGAAGTCACTTCTAGTATGATGCTATCCATAAGAAGAGGTGACAAAAACTATAAACAGAAATGGCAAATACGCAAAGCACAATGAATACAATCCTCCTATCTTAACAGTACTTCATATCAAAGCACTTCCATCACTTAAGAGTGAGGTAAACACTTCTATACCAGTACCAAGAAGAGATAACCTTCCCTAAAGCAAGAAAAACCTAGAACTCAAATTATGTTATCATAACTTTATAGAAATTATATAGAACTACAACTTCAGAAATTCTTCTATAGTTTGCTAGGGCTCCTACAAATGACTGCCTATTTGCAAGAAATAGGAATGGTCCTATCTATCTGCATTGCACCACTAACGAAATCTGTTTTAACAACAAAAACTTGAAACAGTATCTCTTACTTACGAAAGGTGAGAAAAGTGTAAATAAATGTGTAAGAACACTGACATTCAAAAAGTAAATTGAAAAGAAAGGTTTTTCTTCTTTCCATTGCCTGTTAAAACAAAATGCTTTAGAAACCTCTCATTTTACACAAGTTCTGCATTAGCTGAATTCTGATTCATGAGAGATCTGAAATTAACAAGTCTGTTGGGATGAAGAGGGTGGTCCTACAATTTATTCCTATAAAACTCCTTAAATAGTCATAAAATGCTTTCACAGTCATTTTCTGCAGGGCTAAACAAATACCATTTCAGCTGACCTGGAGAGTTCTTTGCTGCCTTGCTCTTACTGGTTCCTTATAAAAATATTTACTTTAAAAATAATAAATAGAGAGATGCTGTAAGAATGTTTTGACTATGAAGCTTATGAACCAATGTAAAAGATATGCATTAATTTTAAGATAGGATTTTTACTATGAAACAGAAGAGCCAAAGTAGAAATATTTTTTTAAAGTTTGCAAAGTTCAATTATGTGTCCTGGTTTCAGCTCTAACACTTATTTTTCTTCCTAGTAGCTGGTGCAGTGTTGTGTTTTGGCTTTAGTCTGGGAACAATGCTGATAACACACTGATGTTTTAGTTGTTTCTAAGTAATGCTTACTCCAATCAAGGGACTTTTCAGTTTCATGCTCTGCCAGTGAGAAGGGGCACAGGAAGCTGGGAGGAAGCAGAGACAGGACACCTGACCCGAACTAGCCAAAAGGGTATTCCCACACTACAGCACATCATGCCCAGTATATAAACTGGGGGAGTTACCTGGAAGGCCCAGATCACTGCTCCAGTCAGGCTGGGTATAGGTCAGTGGGTGGGGAGCAATTGCACTGTGCATCACTTGGGTTTTCTGAGCTTTCATTTCTTCTCTTGTTTCCCATTATTATTGTTGTTGCTATTGGTATTCTTTCTATTATCACTATATTTTACTTTATTTTAGTTATTAAACTGTTCTTATCTCAACCCATGGGGTTTACATTCTTTTGATTCTCCTCCCCATCCCACCCAGAGGAGGAAAGGGTGAGTGAACAGCTGCACGGTACTGAGTTACCGGCTGGGTTTAAAACATAACAATGTGAAAGCAAACTGATAAAGGCACACATTTAAAAGACACATGTTCTGTACACTGTTTATATATTCATTTCATATAAGCTTTTGGAGAACATATTCTAAGTAATCAGAAAATGTACAAAATAAGCATATAATTTAAATGCATGTCTAGGCGATGAGCTAAAAGAATCTAAGCTTTACATTTTAAATATTTTGGTGCATTTTTAAATATTCTAGATCTGCACAGATTTTGTTTTTATTAACTATTTTAGAAAAACTAAATTGGAGTACATCCTGACAGGACTTTGGCACAACTTAATCTGCAAAAGCCTTGCCAGTATCCTTAATAAAATTGCAGCCTGTTGTAGCTGCATTAGCTTAACTTGATTGGTAGGCTGCAATGAACAATAAGCAATTTATCAATGGTGACAGAATTCATCTGAAATTTACCCTCAAAGTAATCAGTCATTCACAGCATAAAATCTCACCAGCTATAGTCAACTGGAAAATTCTGTTTTACACCAAAAGCTAAACCCCTCGGAAAATGAAGACTGTCCAGAATGCCAACTCTAAGTTCGTATTTTAACAAATTAGTGATTACAATTTTGCATCATTTCTAATTGCATGAGGATCTGCCAGGAGAATGGAGAACGGGTGACAGCAATGCAAGTGAGTCACACACTACTGTCTGCTAGCATGGAAAAGTTAACTAACAACTATGCATCACAGCAGAAACGCTTAAAAGAAAGCAGTAATATCACATGTTGCTAATAACCAACTGTCTATAATACAGTCACCTGTACGACTTGAACCATTTGCTGAATTTAACTTTTTTTCCTATAATCAATAACCAGGATGATCAAGTGCCAGTGATTAAAGCACTATGGAGATAGGGTGACATTCCATTCAGCACAAGGCACCTCGAATGTAGATGTTTACATGGTGACCCTGAATTAAGGGAGCCCAAGCAGCAGGGTCACCCAGTATGTGTTGACCTCAGTATGATCCGAATTACTCTTAAGTTTCCTACAGTATGCAAGATATTAATGCAGACATGAGACAGGACGTATGGGAGACCAATATCATTCTCGAATGGCAGCTAAAGGTTACACCCACCAAAAAAATATGAAAAAATAAAAATCAAAATCACAGGAATACTTATGTGACAAGACATGTTCAGAATGAAAAGAAGCCTACAAGGAGGGACCTCTGACTTGGAGGTCAGAAACTATGGTAATAAGGACAGTACGAAAAGTCAATGCAGACCTCAGTAAGAAACAAAAAGTTCTCCCAGCCATATACGTAAAAAAAGGTAGCAAGGTCATCTCACCAACCAGATCCATTAGAGATAAGCTGCGGGTGCAGCACACCAATGTTTGAGATAGGGTGTGCTAGCAAGGTCCTTTGGTCTACTGTCTCAGGGGAAGCAAAGGATGGAGAACCATGTGTCAGCAAAGACACAAGGGTTACTGATGAGTTAGAAACTACACATCAATAGAAGTGCCCAGGAATAGTTATGTAAGAATTATGGCTTCCACTGCAAAAAGGTGGTGGCATCAATAGCTCAACTGAAGTGCACCTACACCAGTGCATGCAGCATGTGCAATAAATAGGAGGAGCTGGAAGCCACTGTGCAGCAGGAAAATTATGAAATAGCTGCCATGATGGAAACATGGTGGGATGACTCCCACAAGTGGAGTGCTGCAATAGGTGGTTATAAACTCTTCAGAAGAGATAGGCAAAGAAGGATAAGCCATGGGGTAGCCCTCTATGTTAGGGCTACCTGACACACAGGGCTAGAGCTTGATGATGGTGACAATGGGGTTGAGTAGTTTATGGCTAAGAATCAGGGGGAAGGACAAGACAGACATCATGGTGGGAGTCTGTTACAGACCACCCAACCAGGATAAAGAGGCAGATGAAATATTCTATAAGCAGGTGAGAAAAGTCTCACTGTCACTAACCCTTGTTTTCATAGGCA